TATATATATATATATACATACATACACTTTATTGAAAGGCTTTTGTTAAAGAAATTACAAGTTACACGTTTATTCGTGAGTGGGGTCAAGGACCCGTCAAAGCATCTTATTCTAATAGGATCGGGTCGTTCGCCTCGGCAGGAGTCTGTATTTCACTTCTTATGGGATCGGGCCGTTCGTCTCGGCAGGATTTATGTACCACACTCTCATGGGAACGGTCTGTTCGCCTTGACAGTTCATTAGATGCATCTATGGTTCGCGCCGTTCGACCCTCGGCAGTACACAATTTAAAGTTTGTGTTGGATCGGGCCGTACGCCTCAGCAGGATTATGTATTTCACTTTTAAGTTGGATCGGGTCGTACGCCTCGCCATTTCCCTATATCATATCTTCATGGAATCGTGCGTAATATTTGGCAAGAAGTCAGAGTATCTGTAAGTTTTCCTGATTTGGGTTATGAAAGTCTATTTGATGAGATCCACTATATTCATATATACGCTTCGGTTAAGGAGGGAATTTCCAAATGTAGAGCTCGAGTTCCTCGTAAAGAGGGGGTATTTGTACCACATAAATCTATACTTGTTTATCTCATTTATTTACGCTGCTTCATGTATACTTACCTCTTTACTGTACATGATATTATTAGGCCACTAGTATGTATCGATGTCGACCCCTCGTCACTACTTCTCCGGGGTTAGGCTAGATACTTACTGGGTACACGTTGATTTTGTACTCATACTACACTTGCTGCACATTTTTTGTGCAGGTACATATGTGACTAGTGGTCTTGTGAGAGCAGAGGCATGTATGCATGCGGGGACTTACGTGAGCTGCATTCCATATTACGACCCGCAGTCGGCAGAGTCTCCTTTAGAGTATTTACATTTCTTATGTCCAAATTCGTATTCCTGACAAATGTTGTATTTTATTTTACATTCCTAGTTGATGCTCATGCACTTGTGACATCGGATTTTGGAGTGATTATGGATTGTTCTGTATTAAAATTGTTAAGAATATTATTATTTACACTATGAATTCTATCTTTTACTATTTAATCGAAGGAAAATATGATTTCAAAAATATTAAAAATGAGAACCAAATTAAGTATTTATTTTTAGCTTGCCTGACAGCGGTGTCCGGCGCCATCACAACCTTTAATGGATTTTGGATCGTGACACAACAAATGAGTATTTTCTTTTCACGATATAAAAATATATTTTTTTCATTTTAACAAAAAAAAGTACTTTCTTTTCATGACGTAGAAATAATATTTTCTTTCATTTCATCAAAATGGTACGGTAAAAAGTATTTTCTTTTGTTGAAACAAAAAGAATATTTTCTTTTCATAATGTAGAAAAAATATTTTCTTTCATTTCAACATAATGAGTATTTTTCTTTCATAGTGTAGAAAAATATTTTCTTTCATTTCAAAAAAATGAGTACTTTATTCATGTTGTAGAAATAATACTTTCTTTTTCAACCAAAAAAAGAGTATTTTTTTAAAGTTATGGAGCACAAATTTTAATGTTGTTTTTGCATAATAAAGTAAAGCAACACATTAGTTTCATTGAGGTTGTGTGAAGTTTTAGAAGAATAATTAAATTTTTGAAGAAAATAGAGTGATAAAAATGTTGGGTTTTTTTTTTT